TCCCCTGCAGTTCCAGTGTGCGACTGCCCTTCCGCTGCACCCTGGGGCTCCGTGCGATGGGTGGCACCGCGCCGCATGCCAGCAGCAGGTCGCGGAGTGAGTGCTCCAGGAGAGACATGGCGAAGGCTGACAGCTGGACGCGGACGACAAAGACGTCTGTTTGCTGGTTCAAGCCTTTCGCCGTGGGCTTTGCGTGCCGTAGCTGTAGCTGCTCGCGGTCACCCGCTGCGGGGCTGGGCGAGCCGCGAGCCGCTCCAGCGGGCGTATGGTGACTCCTTTGAATGTGCGCGCCGAAAGCTTTAGTGTGCGTCGTTGTCGCGCTCGCTCATACGAGATAAGAGATGTGACACACTCTGGCTTGTGGAAGTACAGTACACGCGCGTGCCGCGGCCTTCCTTGTGGTGCGGGGGCGCTCCGCACGTCATACTGGACGCTGAGGTGACGCGATCGATACTGCGGCAAAAACAAAACACTTGCAAAGCATCTCTCGCGCACTAGTTGTTTTCTTACATTTTGGAGGAGAAAATAACTTGAGTATCGTCGCGACACCTGGTACTGTTCTATTATGCCTCTCGCTTGGACGCGGCGGTCTCCGCCGAGCAGCTCTTTTGCTCGGATGACGCAGCCTACCTAGCGCAGCCACGACACCCTCTCCTGCTGACTGCGATTGCTGCTGCGCCCCGCCGTATTCAGCCACACATATGCTGTTGCAACTTTTTCGCCCCCGCCTGGGCCTGCTGCGCGCTTTTGGCCGTCTTCTTCGCTTGCTCTCAGTCAGGGCTAAGTGAAAACGGGGCCCTCCGCTCCGCGCCCGCGCCCCGCCCCGCCCCGCCCCGCCCCGATGTGAGCCGGTTGGGTCGCTCCTCGGCCTGGTGCGGAGCGGTGCGGAGTGCCCTGGCCGCATGCATGACCTCGGAAGGCATTCCATTACGACCAGTCTGGCTAGAGCTGTCAAGTGGAGCGTGGCGACGACGACGCCGCCATGCCGTTTTATTTTATCCCTCTCCTCCCTTCCCCTCCTCCCC